GGGTTGTGCCCGGTGGGTGCTGGGCCACCCGGGCCCCTCCCTCTCACCGGGTGTCCCCCCCAGGCTGAAGGCAGCGCCCGCCCCTCCCCCCGCCCGCCATGGGCAAGAAGAGCAAGGCCGGGAAGAGCCGCAGGGACAAGTTCTACCACCTGGCCAAGGAGACGGGTGAGGGGCTGGGCTGGGCCCTGGGGAGCCCCCGGGAGCTCTGGCCTGCTCTTCTCCCTCCCTCCCTGTCATCCCTCCCTCCTTTTCATCCCTTCCTCCTTTTCATCCCTACTTCCCTCCCCTTCAGCCCTCTCTCCCTCTCATCTCTCCCTCTCTCCTTTCCATCCCACTTCTTCGTTCCTCTTTTCCTTTCATTCCTCCCTCTCATTCCTCCTCATCCCTTCCTTTCATCTTTTCCTCTCTCATTCCTTTCTCTCCTTCCCTTTCATCCATTCCTCTCTCCTTCTCATCCCTCTCTCTCATCCCTCCTTCTCATCCCTCCCTCTCATCCCTCCCTCTCATTCCTCCTTTTCATCCCTCCCTCTCTTCCCTCCTTCCCTCTCCTTCATCCCTCCTTCTCCTTCATCTCTCCCTCCCTCCATTCCCTCCATCTCCTCCCTCCCTTCCTTCCTTCTCATCCCTCCCTCCTTCCCTTCCATCCCTCCCTCCCTTCCATGTCTCCTTCCCTTTCATCCTTCCCTCTCCTCCCTCCCTTCCCTCCCTCTCATCCCTCCTTCCCTCTCATCCCTCCTTCCCTCCCTCCCCCCAGGTTTCCGTTCCCGTTCCTCCTTCAAGCTCCTGCAGCTCAACAGGAAGTTCCAGTTCCTGCAGAAGGCCCGGGCCCTGCTGGACCTGTGTGCAGCCCCCGGGGGGTGGTGAGTGGGGCCAGGGCCCCCCGGGGGGTGGTGAGTGGGGCCAGGACCCCCCCAGGCCCCCTCTGGTGCCACCAGTGGCCCTGGGACCCCGGCCTGAAGTGACTTGGCTGTCGTGGTGCCCTGTCCCAGTCCCTGTCCCCAGCACCAGGGGGTTCTCCTGGGATCTTGCTGTAGGTTTGAACTTCTTTGTCCTTTCCAGGCTTCAAGTGGCTTCTAAATTCATGCCAGTTTCCAGCTTGATCATTGGTGAGTGGTGGGACCTGGCAGGGCTGGGGTGGGAGCCAGGAGCTCCATCACAGTCCCTGGATGTGGCCAAGGAGAAGGGGATCCTGGATTGAGCATCATGGAAGGAGGAGAAGGGTGGGTGGGAAAGCCCCAGGGCTGGAGCCTGTTTTTTGAGGAGCTGTGTTGTTGCTACTTCCTTCTCCTTCCACCAGGAGTGGACTTGGTCCCCATCAAACCCATTCCCAACGTGGTGACCCTGCAGGAGGACATCACCACCGACAAGTGTCGCCAGGTCAGACCTTGTCCCCTGCCCCCAGGGCTCACCCCAGGGGGTCTGGTGGGACCTTGGTGGGGTCCTGAGGTGGGTGGGGGTTGCAGGGGGGGGTGTGTGACCGACCTGTGCCCCCCCAGGCCCTGCGCAAGGAGCTGCAAACCTGGAAGGTGGACGTGGTGCTGAACGACGGGGCGCCCAACGTGGGGGCCAGCTGGGTGCATGATGCCTACTCCCAAGGTGGGGCCCTGCTGGGGGTGGTGAGGGGCCTGGAACACTCCAGGGGGGGACAAAGGTGGCCCAACCATCCACCCAGGGGGAAAAAATGGAGAAGCACAAGCCCAAAATCACACCCCCCCGCCCAGCACCAACAACCCTGACACCCCTGGTGCCCCGGGAGCACAGGCTGTAGAGCCACATTTGCACCTTCCCTAGGATCATGGGATGGTTTGGGTTGGAAAGGACCTAAAAGACCATCCAGTCCCACCCCCTGCATGGGCAGGGACACCTCCCAGCAGCCCAGGCTGCTCCAAGCCCCATCCAACCTGCCCTTCAACACTGCCAGGGATGGGGCAGCCACAGCTTCCCTGGGCAACCTGGGCCAGGCTCTCACCACCCTCGCAGGGAAGAGTTTCTGCCTCGTGTCTCATGTCAGCCTGACCTTGAATACATTTCTGGAAGCTCTCCAGGGCTGGTGACTCCACCACCTCCCTGGGCAGCCTGTTCCAGTGTCCAACCACTTTTTGGGCACAGAAATTCTTCCCAACATCCAGCTGAACCTCCCTTGGTTCCACCTTCAGGCCGTTCCTTCCCGTCCTGTCCTAATCCACCTGGGATCCGAGCCCATCCACTCCAGCAGGGCAGGGTGACTATGGTGGGGACAGTGACAAGTTCTCCTCTTCTTCTCTAGCCAACCTGACCCTGATGGCCCTGAAGTTGGCCTGTGAGTTCCTCAGCAAAGGAGGCTGGTTCATCACCAAGGTTTTCCGTTCCCGGGACTATCAACCCCTCCTCTGGATCTTCCAGCAGTTCTTCACCAAGGTCCAAGCCACCAAACCCCAAGCTTCCCGCAATGAATCTGCTGAGATCTTCGTGGTGTGTCAGGGTGAGGAGTCAGGAGGGACCTGCAGCCACTGGGACGGGGTTTGGGAATAATCTTCTGATCCTTCTGATTCCTCCATCCCAGGTTATCAGGCTCCGGATAAAATCGACAGCAAGTTTTTTGACCCCAAATATGCCTTCAAGGAGGTGGAGGTGCAGACCAAGTCTGTTAGTGAGCTGGTCAGCAAGAAGAAACCAAAGGTAGGAGATGGTTTTGTGGCACCAGACACAGACTAGAAGGTTGGGGTTGGGGTGGGAGAGGTTGTAGGAAGTGGTGTTGTTCAGGAAAAGGAAGGATATGGGGGAAGAGCTGGTTTGGAGGAGGTTTGCAGGCTGAGAAGGTGGGGTGGTGGTGGGGAAGTGGTGAAGAGGTGGTGAGGCTGGGGGTGAGTCAGTAAAGCCCTCCTTACAGTAGCTGGTTAGTGGGTTTGTGTCCCTGGGAGGGGTCTTGAGGGGACAAGATGCTGAAGGTCTTGTCAGTTAGGTGTGAAGGTTCAGAAACAGTCACAAATCATGGGATGGTTTGGGTTGGAGAGACCTTAAAGATCATCTAGATCTAGCCCCCTGCGTGGGCAGGGACACCTCCCAGCAGCCCAGGTTGCTCCAAGCCCCATCCAACCTGCCCTTCAACACTGCCAGGGATGGGGCAGCCACAGCTTCCCTGGGCAACCTGGGCCAGGCTCTCACCACCCTCACACCAAAGAATTTCCTCCTCATGTCTCACCTAAATCTCCCTCCTCCAGTTTCAATCCATCCCCCTCATCCCATCCCTCCCTGCCCTTGTCCCAAGCCCCTCCCCAGCTTTCCTGGAGCCCCTTCAGGCACTGGAAGGTCCACAGTTGAGCTGGACACTGCAGGAAGGCACCAGAGAGGTGCTGTTGCTCCTGCAGGGGGGGCTCAAGCTGCTGTCCCCTCACCCTGCTCCCCCCACAGGCTGAGGGCTACGCTGATGGTGACACCACCCTCTACCATCGCTTCACCCTGATGGATTTTCTCAAGGCTCCCAACCCCGTGGACTTCCTCTCCAAGGCCAATGAGGTGAGTGCCTGAAGGAGGGGAGACTTTGCTGGCCCCTGAGATGTCCCCAGGAGCACGGAGGAATGAAAAGAGGGAGCCAAGTGGCCCAGCAGTGGCCCCATGTGTGTTCCTGTGGAGGGGAGGCCAAGCAGGAGCCACCTGGAGCTCAGGCAGCTGCTCTGCTTGTGGTTAGAGTCATGGAATGGTTTGGGTTGGAGGAATCATAAAGATCATCTGGATCCAACCCCCTGCATGGGCAGGGACACCTCCCAGCAGCCCAGGCTGCTCCAAGCCCCATCCAACCTGCCCTTCAACACTGCCAGGGATGGGGCAGCCACAGCTTCTCTGGGCAACCTGGGCCAGGCTCTCACCACCCTCACACCAAAGAATTTCCTCCTCATGTCTCACCTCAATCTCCCTCTTCCAGTTTTCATCCATCCCCCTCATCCCATCCCTCCCTGCCCTTGTCCCAAGTCCCTCCCCAGCTTTCCTGGAGCCCCTTCAGGCCCTAGAAGGTGCTCTAAGGTCTGAAGTTGATGATTCTTCTTCAAGAACTTCCATGCTCAGTTCACTCCCTGCCCCTGCAGATCACCCTGGGGGATGGGGAGCTGGAGAACCACAGCTCCACCACAGAGGAGCTGCGTCAGTGCTGCAAGGACATCCGTGTGCTGGGCCGTAAGGAGCTCAGGTACTGGGAGGAACTGGGATGGGGCTGTGGCAGGGCTGGGGGTGTCTCTAGCAGCTGCTCTCCCCCCCAGAGCTCTGCTCAACTGGAGGACGAAGCTGCGACGTTTCTTGGCCAAGAAGCTGAAGGAGCAGGCGAAGGAGCTGGATATCAAGTAGGATGGACATCAGGGCTGGCCCAGAGCTCCAAGGTGGTGGGATGGACCTGTGTGACCAGGAGGGATGGTCTGAGCTCCTTCTCTTTGGCAGCCTGAGCTCAGGGGAGGAGGAGGAAGGCAAAGAGGAGGAGGAGAAGGAGAAGAAGAAGCCACCAAAAGCAGCGGGTGATGAGGCGGTGGGAGAGGAGGAGGAGGAGGTGGAGCTGGCGTTGGCAGAGATGAAGGCCAAGGAGCTGGCAGAGCTGAAGAGGTGAGGAGACCCTGGATGAGGAGAGATGGGGGAGCACAGGGGGCTTCAGCCATGGGGACAGAGAGTGGTAGTGTCACAGCCTGTCCCTCCGTGGGCAGTGGGTGGGGTTTGTGAGTCCAGGCCCCTCCAGGTGTGTTCAAGGAGCAACGGGCACCAACTGGAGCCCAGGAGGGGCCACCTAAACATGGGGAGGAACTTGTGTACTGGGAGGGTGGCAGAGCCCTGGGACAGGCTGCCCAGGGAGGTGGGGGAGTCTCCATCCCTGGAGACATTCCCAGCCCTCCTGGACGTGTTCCTGTGGGATCTGCTCTGGGGGATCCTGCTCTGGCAGGGCTTGGATGGGTGATCTCCAGGGGTCCCTTCCCACCTCACCACTCTGGGATTCTGTTCCAAGCTGATGTGGGTCCACGGGGGACCCACCCTTGGAGAGGACAGAGCTGCTGGGTTCCCAGTCCTGGGGCAGGTCTGGCCACTGGAATGCCAAGGGGGGGTTGGCAGGGTGACCTCATCCCTTTGCCTCCATCTCCAGGAAGAAGAAGAAGATCCTGAAGGAGCAGCGGAAGCAGCGGGAACGTGTGGAGCTGAAGATGGACCTTCCTGGTGTCTCCATTGCTGATGATGGTGACACCAGCATGTTCTCCCTCCGGACCATCCACAGGACCCCGGTGTGTGGGGTGGGGGGAGCCCCAGGACCCCCCATGGGACAGGGACAGACACGTGGTGGTCGCTGGTGACGCTTCTCACTTGCTTTGCAGCTGCTGAACGAGGTGACCCGAGGTGACATGGCCTCAGCAGATGCTCTCCTGGAGATGGGAGCTGGGGATGATGACATTTATGTCTCAGATCATGAGGAGGATGATGATGTGTCCCTGGCCAGTGACCTGGACCCAGAGGAGCTGCTGGAGATTGAGGCCCGACAGCGCCGGCTGGAGCGGGAGAGGAGGGAGCAGGGAGCCAAGAGGTGAGAGGCAGGAGAGGCCCCTGGGGATGGACCTGCCTTGGGAGCAGCTCTGGAACCCAGCAGTGCAGCTAATCCCAGGCTGGGTAGCACTGACTCTACTCTTCTTGGTTCCAGAGGGAAGTTAAAGCAGAAGGAAGAGGAGGAAGGGGAGGAAAAGGAGAATCCTCTGCTGGTGCCTTTGGAGGAGAAGTCGGTGCTGGAAGAACGTCAGACCAGCCTGTGGTTTGGGAAGGTGAGACCCCCCTCCAGCAAGGCAGGACTGACCCTCCAGGTCTGTCCATGTCCCCTCACCTGCTCCCCCTTCCCCAGGACTCCTTTGCTGGGATTGAAGATGATGCTGATGAGGACCTGGAGCTGGGACAGGCACAGATGCTGGCTGAGAAGCAGCGGGGAGCTCAGAGAGGTCAGTGGTGGCAAAAGGTCCTGTGACCCATCAACCCACAGGGGTTCTGCTCCTCCCCAGGGGTTCTGTCCTTCCTCCCATCCTCCTTGTCCGGAGGAGGCCACAGAGATGACCCAAGGGCTGGAGCAGCTCTGCTCTGGAGCCAGGCTGGGAGAGTTGGGGTGTTCAGCCTGGAGAAGAGAAGGCTCCAGGGAGACCTTAGAGCAGCTTCCAGTGCCTGAAGGGGCTCCAGGAAAGCTGGGGAGGGACTTGGGACAAGGGCAGGGAGGGATGGGATGAGGGGGATGGATGAAAACTGGGAGAGGGAGATTGAGGTGAGACATGAAGAGGAGATTCTTCACACAGTGTGGATGCTGCTCCCAGCAGGACCAGACATTTCCAGAGGTTCCCTTCCAGCCTGCATCATTAACACAGTTAATGAGCTGGATCTCTGGGAGAATGGTGGGGTGTGTCTCCATCCTTTCTCACCTGGTGGCTTCTGTTCCCCAGACAAGGCAACCAGGAAAGGGCAGAAGAAGGTGCTGGTGTCCCAGGAGGAACCTCCAGCTGAGCCCCTGCCCACTGCAGAGCCAGACCCTGACCCTGGGGCAGGGCAGGATGAGCAGAGCAGTGATGATGACAGCAGCAGTGATGAGGAGAGGTGAGGCCTGCGAGGGGAAAGGGCTGGATCTTCTCCCCCAGCTCCACATTCCTGGCCAGCAGGGAGGTGCCACCCTAACCCTGCCCCCTCCTCTCCACAGGCCCCTGGTGCCCGTGGGCAGGAAGCAGGGCCATGTGGAGCCATGTGGCTTTGAGGTGGTGCCCATTGAGAAGCCAGGTGAGTGGAAGCTCCTGCAGGCACCCCTGTGTGCCTGGGCTGCCAGCTGGGTCCTCCTCTGGGGGCAGCAGGAGGGTCAGTCCCTGCTGAGCTGCTGCTGCTCCCTGGAGCTGCTGGCAGGGAGCTCAAGCTTCAACTTCTCCGTGTGCTGCAGTGAAAAGAGTCCTGGATGCAGAGGGCCTGGCCCTTGGCTCTGTCATTGCCACCTCCAAGAAGGCCAGGAGGGACCTCATCGATGACTCCTTCAACAGGTACTTCCTGCTGGACTGGGAGCAGCTCTGGGGGATGCTCAGAGGGGGTGTCAGGAGGGATTTCTTCCACCAGAGGGTTGTCATGGAACAGGCCAGTGGTGATGTCACCATCCCTGGAGGGATTTAAGAGCCCCACAAACCCAGTACTGAGAGATCTGGGTTAGTTAAAGCCTGGTCAGTGTTGGGTGAAGAGCTGGAGATGTTGAAGGTGCTTTTCCAACCCAGGGAACCCTGTGATCCCATCCCCAGCCCGACATGGGCGGCGGGGGAGAGGCAGCTGGATGGCTGTGGGGGCTCCAGCTGTGTGTCCCACCTCTAGATATTCCTTCAACGAGGAGGAGGGGGAGCTGCCCGAGTGGTTCCGGGAGGAGGAGCAGCAGCACCGGCGCCGGCAGGTGCCCGTGGATCGCCAGACGGTGGAGCTGTTCCGGCAGCGGCTCCTCCCTCAGGGGGTTCTGCTCCTCCCTCAGGGGGTTCTGCTCCCCCTCCCAGGGGTTCTGCTGCCCCGCCCAGGGGTTCTGCTCTTCCCTCAGGGGGTTCTGCTCCTCCCTCAGGGGGTTCTGCTCCTCCCTCAGGGGGTTCTGCTCCTCCCTCAGGGGGTTCTGCTCCCCCTCCCAGGGGTTCTGCTGCCCCGCCCAGGGGTTCTGCTCTTCCCTCAGGGGGTTCTGCTCTTCCCTCAGGGGGTTCTGCTCCTCCCTCAGGGGGTTCTGCTCCTCCCTCAGGGGGTTCTGCTCCCCCTCCCAGGGGTTCTGCTGCCCCGCCCAGGGGTTCTGCTCTTCCCTCAGGGGGTTCTGCTCCTCCCTCAGGGGGTTCTGCTCCTCCCTCAGGGGGTTCTGCTCCCCCTCCCAGGGGTTCTGCTTCTTCCCCCAGGCGTTCTGCTCCTCCCCCCAGGGGTTCTTCTCCTTCCCCGGGGGGTTCTGCTGCCACCCCCAGGGGGTTCTGTGCTTTCTCTCATCCTCCTTGTCCCGAGAGTCCAGAGGAGGCCACAGAGCTGCTGGGAGGGCTGGAGCAGCTCTATTTGGTAAACAGCAGAGGGAAGGCAGGAGCCCAGATTGGGTTTCTGTGGTAGATCTGAAGTCTTTGGGGGGGAGCGTGGATTTTTTTTTTTACCCTTTCTTCTCTATCACCACAATTTTTTTGCAAGGGCTTGTAGCAAGAGGTAATGGATTGAAACTGGGAGAGGGGAGGTTTAGGATGGACATTAGGAAGGAATTCTTTAAAGTGAAGGTGGTGAGACCCTGGAACAGGTTGCCCAGATGGCTGCCCCATCCCGGGCAGTGTTGAAGGGCAGGTTGGATGGGGCTTGGAGCAGCCTGGGCTGCTGGGAGGTGTCCCTGCCCATGCAGGGGGGTGGAACCCGATGAGCTTAAAGGTCCTTTCCAGCCTTAACATTGTGTGGTTCTATGTTTGTCCCTCACCCTCCCTGTCCCTGCAGATGTTGAAGAAGCTGGAGCAGATGAAGAAGAAAGCAGAGGCTGTGGTGAGCACAGTGGACATCTCAGAGAGGGAGAAGGTGGCCCAGCTGCGGCGGTGAGTGCTGAAACTGGGATCCAGCCCCTTGCTGTGGGGCTGGGCTCCCCTTTGGGTGCCCCAGCAGAGCTGGGAAGGGCTGGGCTAGACCTGGGTGCTGCCTGTGAGGGGTTGGAGAGCCAAACAAGGGAGCCCAGCAGAGTTTGGGGCCCCAGGATTGACCTTTAGCTACACCTCAAAGCGAAAACCGCTGGAGCTGGGCCAGGCTGGGGAGGGTCTCACCTCTTCCCTTTCTCCCTCAGCATCTACAAGAAGGCTGGGCTGGCCAAGGAGAAACGTCAGGTCACCTACCTGGTGGCCAAGAAGGGGGTGGGACCCCGTGTGCGCCGCCCCCCGGGGGTCAGGGGGCAGTTCAAGGTCGTGGACAGTCGCCTCAAGAAGGACGTGAGGGCTCAGAAGCGTCACGAGCAGAAGAAGAAGCGGCACAAGTGAGGTGGGACCCACCTCCCTGTCCCCTGCCAGGGACCCTGCATGGGGCAGGCTGGGTCCTGTCCTCCCCCTGCAGCCTTGGGAGGCTCTGCCACCCCCCCGGCCTGGGGACAGGGCTGGGACAGCTCTGGTGGTGCCTGGTGACATTGGTGACGTTGGCTCCTGGCCTGTGGTGGGGCAGGGAGGGGTCTCTGGGGGCTCCTGGTCTGGCCCCATCTCTGGGTCTCTCACTCTGCTGGGAAACTCTCACCCTGTGGAGGTGGCACCAGCAGCCAGGCCAGCCCTTGCTGTCCCCAAGAGGGGTTGTGGCTCAGGGACACAACTGTGGGTGTCACTGAGGTGGGTGGCAGTGACCTGCAGAGCTGCTCCATCCCTGGGTGGTGTCCTGAGCCTTGAGGTGAGGCTGTGCTGGAGGTGTCACCTCCTTCTGGTGGCCAGGGCAGCACAGGGTCATGGGGACTGTGCCAGCACCTCTGGGGAGCACAGCCCCTTCCCCCCACCTGGTGTCACCTCTGGCAGCTGAACAGGCCTGGTCAGCAGCTGTGATGTCCCCTGATGTCCCCTGCCCAACACCCTCCAGAGCAGCCACCTCCTCCCTGTCACCTTGTGAAAGCAAAGAAAGGCCCAAGAGGAACCACCCACCTTGAGCACATGGATTTCTTGAGACCCAAGAAGGGAACGTGGCTTCTCAACAAGTGCCCTGAGTGTTCTGGTGGGATTGTGGAGGTGGCCACAGGCCCCTCGTGGTGACAGTGGCACCAGGGTGGGGGGCAGTGGTGGTGGGGACCTGCTGGGAGGGCACAATGTGCCAGGAGGGGGGAGGTCTTGGTGCTGTTCCAGTGCTGGGGGGGGTGTTGGAGAGGCCAGACCTGCTGCCTCCCCTGGGTGGGGGGTGCTCAGGGTGTCCCTGGGAAGCCACCCCTTGGCTACTTGGGGTGAACTTCCCACCTTTCCTGGTACTTGGGCTTGGGCTGGAGCCCGTGGGTGGCTCTGGCTGGGCTGGTGGGAGGACGTGCCAAGCGTGGCAGGAGGAAGAGGTGACACTTCAGCTGGGAACCTCCTGCCCTTCCAGCAACCCAGGTGATTGATTGCTCAGGAGTTCCCCAGGCTGAGCTCACCTCTGATCCAGGGCCCTGATGACAGGATGGATCATCAATCCATCCATCAATCCCACTTTCCCTGCTTCCCACTCACTGGGTCCCTAATCAGAAGCAGAAGTGGGTGTCCCTGGGGAGCTCCCTGGCAGAGCTGGCTGGGGCAGGATTCCCAGAGGTGCTGGTTGAGTCCCAGAGCTCTCCTGGCTTGGAGGGCAGGTCAGAGGAGCTGTCACCTTCCCCCTTCCCAGTCCTGTCACCTCATTGCTGGTGCCAAGGAGACAGTGTGAAACCAGTGGGAAAAGCAAACTGGGATGTAGGAGT